ATGGCTGCCCAAACCTTGCATTAGGTGCACGTTTTATTTCTTTTGCAGCCCCTCCATTCCTCCATTGTAATGATTATTACTTCCTATCATTGCCGGCTGCTTATTTTTTTCCTATTTCCCCGCCACACATTAAACCCAGTGAGCTTAGGGTCCTTTCCATTCAGTCCCCAGGGCCTAGCACAGTGAAGACTGCACAGAAGGGACTCAGTAAATACTTCTTAAATATTGTTGTATATTCGTCAATTTTTAAACTTTCTAATACTTAAACTATAAAACAAGTAGAGAGAAATTATAAACACAAAATTTCATGATGACAAAGTCTGGCATCAGAATTCCTGGATTAAGTTTCTGGCTCTATCATTGCCTTATTGAATATTCTTGACAAAACCCAAAATTTTCTCACTATAATGTAATCATTGTAACACTCACCATTTCTGAGTACACAATAAAAATGACAATAGCATCTTGAATTTATGGCTTCCAAGTAGTTAGCAGCATTTCTTACGAATTACTTATTTGCTCACCATCCCTTTGGGGTAGGCCAGCGTCTTTCCTTCTAGAAGGCAATGAAGGGAGATAGAGTTCCTCCTGTAATGGTGTCAAAGCACTGGTCCTGGTTGGTTACCTAATTCACAGAATGTGGGGAAGATTCATGAAGTTATCTGAGTCTTTATGCTCAGGAAAATGGGTTCTATAAAGTAGTTTTACACGCTTGTACATCCAATTTCTTAAGAGCTCAAAATATTTGGGGGTGAAAATGTGTACAAATTATTTCAGTACTTCAGCTTATTCCTGGGCTCTTTCTCCATGTTTTTCTGGAGACAGTTTTTTTTTTTTTTTTTTTTTTTCCACATGCACTCAAACCATCTGTGTACCAGGCACGTTTTCCCAGATGTAAAACCAAGTGAAATGTGTCCATTCCAGTTATTTAGAAAGGACTGTGACTAATGATACTGTGGAAGAATGGCACGGGTGATGCAAAAGTACGCTCTCTGTGTGAACAGCTAGGGAAGCCTAGCAGTTAGGGTCACACAAAGCCGAGCCATACAGACAAGCACTCAGCACCAGTGCTTTTCAAACTTAGCCTCCAAAGACCTTCTTCAGGAAGCAGAATCAGCTGAGTGTCTCTGTGACCTGGAGATATCCCCTGTGAGATGAGGTTCTCTACCACCGTCAAATGGTAACATTTTTAAACATTTGCGCAAGTTTCACATTCTACCCCAAATATGTCAACGTTTGCTTTATATAAAAATGTCTCAAATAATTTACCATTGGGGATTCCCTGGCCGTCCAGTGGTTAGGATTCCGTCCTTCCACTGCAGGGGGCATGGGTTCAATCCCTGGTTGGGAAACTAAGATCCTGCATACCACATGATGTGGCCAAATATATATATATATATATATATATATACACACACACACACCATTCATTAAAATGGACTCTTAAGGAAGAGGTACCATATTTATTATTGCCTTTAAACTCTCCCCAGGACACTGGCATGTGCTTTTTTTCAAACATTACCCCAGTTTGAAAAGCACAGAGTCCTAGGATATTGCAGCCCAGGCCATGGTTTTTTGTTAGAACTTAAGAGAATTTGCCCACCTGTCCCCTTTCTACTTTGCTACATGTAAACTCCTGAAGTCCTTTTGCCTAACTCGCTGATGAAATCTTTTAAATGTTGCTCTAAGCACCTGATTGGTAGCATGTCCACTGCTAAGATGATGGAGGAATATAAAATCAGCTTCCTCAGCAACCTAAGTGTCCATCAACAGATAAAGAAGATGTGGCACATACATACAATGGAATATTACTCAGCCATAAAAAGAAACGAAATTGAGTTATTTGTAGTGAGGTGGATGGACCTAGAGTATGTCATACAGAGTGAAGTAAGTCAGAAAGAGAAAAACAAATACCGTATGCTAACACATATATGTGGAATCTAAGAATAAAAAAAAAGGTCATGAAGAACCTAGGGGTAAGACAGGAATAAAGACACAGACCTACTAGAGAATGGACTTGAGGATATGGGGAGGGGGAAGGGTAAGCTGTGACAAAGTGAGAGAGTGGCATGGACATATATACACTACCAAACGTAAAATAGCTAGCTAGTGGGAAGCAGCCGCATAGCACAGGGAGACCAGCTTGGTGCTTTGTGACCACCTAGAGGGGTGGGATAGGGAGGGTGGGAGGGAGGGAGATATAAGAGGGAAGAAATATGGGAACATATGTATATGGATAACTGATTCACTTTGTTATAAAGCAGAGACTAACACACCATTGTAAAGCAATTGTACCCCAATAAAGATGTTAAAAAAAAATCAGCTTCCTCAAATAGAGATTTTCTGTTGGAGAAAAAGTATCTGTCTGAGATGGGAATTACCTTACCACTTCTCTCTTTAGATCTCGTTAACACTGGAAACCAAACTAAGTTCTAAAACTTAATGCTTTTTTGTAAGCATTTAGAAAATATGATCAAATGGCAAACTGGTCATGCTCAGATATTAGTGCAAGAAGTGACTTATTTATACATGCAAATTTCAAAACATTTGTAAGGTCTACCATGTGTGCTGTTAAAAGGTTTTTAATTTTAAATTATTTTTGTTAGATAATCCCATTTAAAGTAACACTATGATTTATCGCCACTAATCAAGATGCTGATCCCTCATAGACTTCTTGTTTGTATCTGTTTTTGTTCTTTGTTACATAAATATGAGGTTTATATATAAAATTCTGACTGTGTAATATAGGGCTAATGAGTCACAGATGGAAAGATGCTGGCACATTACCATCTAATAACATTTTAAACTCATATTCCATAGTAAAACAAAAGCAAACTGTACACATCTGTTTTCCAACTTGTAGCATTTCTGAATTTGTGGAGCGTCTCTGTTTAAAGGACTTTTACTTGAGGAGAAGAAAAAGAGGATATAGGTCACCTCAAAACTACCCAGCCACTTAATAACCTTATCAGATAGGACTTGGCAAAGGGATAAGATTTCCTCGGCTTTGCTTCCTGAGAAGTCCCAGCTCTAAAGAACAAGAATCAGAGGCATTAGGGCTGAAGAGATGTCTCAGACGACAGACATAATTTTATTGTCTCTCTTAAGAAAAATATATCCCTAATAAGGAGGAAATAAGGGGGAAAATATACCAAAACTAATAAAATTTAAAAACTAGAAAATTTCTGGCTTTTTCTAGAAATATCCTCGAAGTAGATTTGGGTGGGAAGAGGGGAAAGGCGGTGGAGAGGAGAAAACATAGGAAGGAATCCTGCAGACACTCGAGACCATATATTATCATGGTTGTTGTTTAATTTTTTGTATGGTAAAAGTATTCTGCATGGGAAAAAAATTGGAATACAAGGCTCTGATATCACATGTTGTTGGAAAAAGAACACAGGCAAAATTTCTCTCTCAGACCTACCCAATTGATAACGCCTGTGAACACAAGTTAGTACAAGCTAGTAAAGTACAGGCTTTTAAAATATCCTTTGCCCATTTTCCTTGGTTAAGGAATTCAAAACCACTTTTCTGCTTCAAGGGGGTGTGTGAACTGTCAAGTTCTTTTGGAAAAGTTACGTGACAGAAGTGATTACTGCAGAGTGTGACCATAAATCCCCCTGACATGAAATACACATGTTATAAGAGACAGATTTCCATCCACCACCTCTGCAGGAATTCCTGAAACAGGAAAGACCTGAGAATCATCATATGATTGGAGACAGAAATTTTGATATGTGGGTGGTAAGACTATATTTTTTGATGCATACTGCATTTATTCTGAGGAATACATCTGATCTGACTGCAAAATTCTGTTCACTGTTGTCCAAACAAGATTTGATACATGTATTGTATATCCTGAGTTGTAAACAGAATATCAGTAGAGGGAAATTACAGTGCTGTGTTCATAACAGAGTCTGTAGTTATCTCCATTCTGTACTAACATTTTGTACGTAAGAGTCCAGAAATCTTAAGCGTATGTACACAGATGCCAATGTACCTGAGTTCTCAAGCTGACCATTCCCTTTAATAAATGGTTAGCTTGGGGGCCTCATGTGTCTGATTTTGTTTACTGTGTCAAACAAGGCAAGACTTAGAGCCAGGACGGGGTGGCATTAGGTACATGCTTGTTGTGTTTGTCCACCAGTGGAATGTCTGTGTGACGTTTTGTGTCGTGTTGTTTTGGTGCTGTGCCCTGTCCATAGGGTCTGCCAGGCTTCTCCACAGTTGCCGCTCTGCACAGTAATCAGATCCTCACCGTCAAGGTTCGTGGTTGGCACCCATGCCCGCGCAGTCAGAGCCCGCAATCAGCATAAGAGTGAACAACAACAGCTCAACTGGCTTTCCGAGTCCAGTCCTTTCCTCACACACACAGGTTATTGGGCACTTGGAATCTCACCTCCATCGGTGAGGTCAAACGTACATTAAGAAAGAGAGTCTTGAGCCTATAAGAGAAGAGCGTTTTGAAGGCGAAGAGAGGCAGGCAAGCTCTGTAAGGCTGTGCCGCGCCTCGGTGCTTTGATTGGCATGCATCGCAATGCTCTGTGATAGTTTTCAGTGGATTAAACAATCCTAAATACTCTGGACTTCGGGCATCCGTAAAATGACAGTCGAGTTCGTGCCGCATTATGCTGGTTGAGGAGTCTGACAGAAATTGAACTGGCGCTTCGTCTCTGGACTTTCCGCTCAGAGTGCAGGATGCAGGTGGCCCCAGGTTACCTGCTTCTTTAATATACAACATCTAAAGAGGCCCAACGCCCACAGCAGAAAAAGATTCATTTCTAACTAAAAATCTGGTTTCACCATCCCGTTTCAGGGTCTGTTTCTTTCAAGAAGAGCCAGAGGGTCCGATGTCAGACACAAGCGCCAGTTCTGTTTTGTTGGATGGTTATTATAAGTCTAATGTGTGTATCTTTATTTCTTTCTTGGGGCCTTCTGATGCCTATTCTTCAACTCTCTCATCTCTGAACTCCAACCTTTGACCTCACCTGACTGATCAGATGGTGTTTCCTAAAATCAATCATGGGTTTCTCTCTGCTGATCAGCAGCTCATTAAACGCCGCCTGATTAAGGTAGTGCTTATTCTTGCTCAAGTCTGATTTCTCCTTTACATTCGATTTTTACTCTGTATACTGTTGCTTTACCATTTATCTCTCATAGGCAGAGTGTGGGTCGTGGGTATTTATTTTAAAATATCCTAGAGCAAAATTATGTTTAGTGAGCTGCATTTGTTTGAAATGTATGTGAAAATACCAAAGCCAAAAGGTATAGAAAGCCAATCTAATTTCTTCTTAAATTAAAAAAAAAAAGAAAGCTTAAAAATTATATGCAGTGATAGATCCAGTTTCTAAGCTCTCTAGCTTTGGTAATTTATAAATTATTACACAGCATGACAAGAGCCTTGTATGTTTAATTTTATAGGTTATGAAAAAGTAAATATTTGTCCAACTATAAATGCAGCCATTTTATTAAGCAAGGTGAATTTAACTGATGCAGCATTGTCATGGATAAAGTTATGCAGAAGTTTTCTACCAGCTCTGAGTATAATGATAACATATACACTATTTCCAAGAGCTGAGAGTGCTGGTTTCTGAGCTGCTTTAATTTCAACAGCCTCTACTCAGCTCGCCCAGCATGAATATTTATTTGCTTCCTACTGGCAGGCAAATTGCCTACAGGCTTTACCATTTGTGGTTGTTCTAGGTCTTTTCACAGTATAAATGTGAATTCGATAATAGAAATTTAAAGTGTTGAAAAGAAGACCTGGGTCTTTATCTTTCACAGTTATTGTTGGTCTGTCCCCTTCTCCATTGTAGGGTGACCAAGGACAGGCTGGGCCTCCAGGCCCTCCAGGACCTCCAGGCCCACGAGGACCTCCTGGGGACACAGGCAAAGATGGCCCCCGCGGAATGCCAGGAGTGCCTGTGAGTTGCTTTTTGGATCAGTTGTTCTCACAGGTTTTGTTTCCTTTAAAGCACTGAGAATTGGGTTGGAGTTGGGGACGGGGTAGCAGAGGTCAAGTGAGCGGAGTGGGTTGAAGGAAGTGGGATGATAGGAAAGTTCCCGAGCAGAGAGGGCACTGCCATCTGGAATCTGCTTTACCACTCAACCCTCGGGGCACCCACACAAACCACAGCGAGACGCCTGGAGACAGCAACTGACCTTGTCTTCAGGTAAGCCTCAAGAAGTCTGCGAGTGGAGATGCCCGATCTCACTTGTGTCCTGACTGCCATAGAGTACCTCAATGCCTTTGGTTGAAACGGAAGACTAGCTTGAAAAACTAGGTGGGAGATTGATAACATTTTACAAAGGATCAAAATAGAGACAAAGTCCTATGCAATTTATGGAAAGTAAAAGAGGTAAATCTGGGTTTCCCTGGTGGCGCAGTGGTTGAGAGTCCGCCTGCCGATGCAGGGGACACGGGTTCGTGCCCCGGTCCGGGAAGATCCCACATGCCGTGGAGTGGCTGGGCCCGTGAGCCATGGCCGCTGAGCCTGTGCGTCCGGAGCCTGTGCTGCGCAACGGGAGAGGCCACAACAGTGAGAGGCCCACATACCGCAAAAAAAAAAACAAAAAAGAGAGGTAAATCTTCCTAATATTTATCCCTTGCAAGTAACTTGATGCCCCAAATCACTAATAAAATAGTAAAATTAATGGTTAAAACATCAGTGGTTATGGTTTGAATATCATTTGTCCTTTGTATGTGAAGCTTATTAATAGAAATGACTTAACAGCGATCTCAACACTTAGATCTAAGTACTAATTTACTTAGTACTTAGCTACTAAGATTGGTCAAGTGTCAATAATAGAGTAGTAGCACAGGACACTAGATAAATGGTTTGGTTGGGTAGAGGCAACTCAGCAATTTAAAGAAATACATGGAAAAGGTCAAAAATTTGTACACTTATGACTTTAGGACCTGAAATTCAGGTTTATTGCTGAATTAAATTATTTATTTAATGTACTGCTTTAACTTAAATTATTTTCATCAGCTGTTTTTGTAGTACAAAAGTAATAATAAAATATTTATCCACAAAGTAGAAAAATTTGAAAATAAAGCCAACCAAAAAAGAAAAAACAAATCAGCCATAGTCATTAATGTGTTGGTAGATTTCATTTTTATATGTATATATTTATGTAATTTTTTTTTTTTTTTTTTTTTTTTTTTTTTGCGGTATGCGGGCCTCTCACTGTTGTGGCCTCTCCCGCTGCGGAGCACAGGCTCCGGACGCACAGGCTCAGCGGCCATGGCTCACGGGCCCAGCCGCTCCACGGCACGTGGGATCTTCCCGGACGGGGGCACGAACTCGTGTCCCCTGCATTGGCAGGAGGACTCTCAACCACTGCACCACCAGGGAAGCCCCTATGTAATTTTTGAGTGACTCTTTTCTTTAAGACTGTAGGGTACTTTCAAACTTCGCTGGGACAACCTTCTTAGAAGCCTCATACCCCTCGCCAAAAGTTGCTATAAATTTGTCATGTGAAATAAGGAATTGACTTTCAGCGTAATATGCTGGTTGTTGGGACTGCTTTCACTGGACCATCAGAGGCAGTGGTTTCATCCTAAAAGTGTCTTCTAATGTTTCACCTTTTCTTGGAATGAAACCCCAAAAGATAGAGAACCCATCCATAGCTGCTTTACAGTATACACACTCCTACTCGTTTTATTTAGAATACCTTCTTGGCATAATTCTTAAATCTCTGTTGTAATATAGCTTCGTTGTATTAAATCCTAAAATGTTTATAAAATGCATTTGAAGAAAGAACATCAGCGCTCTTTAAATGACATTGTGTTTGCATTCCTTTCTTTAGCCTAAAAAGTATATATTTGACATTCAAGATCCCTAGTGGATATTGGGAAAAAGAAAAAATAAAAGATTGAAATTGTTTTTTACTGTTTAAGGCATTAATAAAATTATCATTATTCTTTTTTAAGGGTGAACCAGGGAAACCAGGAGAACAAGGCTTGATGGCAAGTATCTCAATTTATCTTTTTCTATACCGAAAAGAATGAAAAGACAAGTTACTCAAAACTGTGGTCAAGACTGTGTGTAACAAATGTGCCTGTTTTGTGATCTGTAACAAAGAGTGAGAATTAGTAAAAGTTAAAAAGTGATAGGGATAACTGAATCACTGTGCCGTACCCCTGAAGCTAACACAACATTGTAAGTGAGCTATACTTCCATTTCTTTTAATGGTAAAAAAAAAAAAAAAATGTATTCCTTTAAAACAAACAACCAAAAAAGAAGTGATAGGGCCTGTCCATCACATGCTAAGGATCACATGACAACACATCTGCAGAACTGATACAGGAGGAAAAAAGAGGGAGATTCCAGGTGAAGCAAGTGACAGAGGATGCTGAGGAAGACTCTGTTATAAGAGATTAAATTCAGGGATATGCCTATTAGCTTAAACAGAAATGAGATTTCAAAGGAACCAGGTGTCACTACCTGTGAACAAGTAGAGCAAACCTTCGACAGTGATTCCAGAGGTTTTGCTTTTGCCGAAGGAAGAGAGTTGTGCCTTCTTGACCCCTGAAACTGTTAATAAAACGGTAAGTTAATGGTTAAAATATCAGCAGTTATGGTTTGAATATCATTTGTCCTTCCACCCAGAGAGAAACAGTGGTGCGTTCCTGATCTCTGTCATTAAAAAGATCATGAAATGATTCCCCTTGGACTTGCCCGTAAACACCCAGGTCCCAGCTCCTCAATTTTGTTTATGCTTTGCCAGTGAAAGAGAAGTTAGGGCAGCTTGCTGAGCCCCAAAGAGTAGAATTCCTTCAACCTACCTCTCCCTGTCACTTCCTCCCTGTCTCTGGAGCTACCTTTCTGACCTACTTTGTGACACGAACAATATTGGGGAACACAGGATGATGCTCTAATAACTCAAATTCCAGAGGACAGCTATGTCTCACACTTGCCCTGGATGCAGTGATGACGATCCGCTTGATCATGTCCATTTCACACGATGTGTGGCACACAGCCTGCAGGTGCTCAGGATATAAAATGTGTTTTAAAAAAAATAGAAGCTAGGTCCTAGTGAAACGAATGCACGGGAACACACTAGTTTGTCAAGAATTAAAACAAATGTGTGCATATGGGCTAAAGGTCAAAGGCTTCTCCCTGCACAGGATGCCTTCAACAGCCCTCCTGGGGAGACACTCAGCAAGCTGTAGTCCTAGCTGTCATGTAGCTGCCTTCAAAACATCACTGGTGAAATGGAAGCATCCTGGGACCACACCTGACCCACTGCCTGGAAATTCTCTGTTTCTGACCTACAGTATCAAGATAGATATTTGATACAGACAATCAGGCCGGGAGTACTATAATGGATTCTTTTTAAAAAGAATAAAATGAAAGAAAAACAACAACAACAAAAGGCCATATGTGGAAATTAAATAAAACATCTGTCATCCGTGGTAACTTTGTATACAAGGGCAGCATTAGCTCTCCAGGTTATAGGATCAGAGGGGGTGAAGAATTTTTGGAAAACTACCATGTAAATTTTGAAATTGCTTTATGCAATTGAATGCACCTGTAATTTCTATCGTGGATAACGGTCAAAACATATTCCTCCCATACAGTCTTACGTCCAAGGCTACTTAGGATTTTTAGGAGCCCTTGTTTGTCCCCAAGTGTTCAGAGCCTATGATTTTTATCATTGCCACAGGCTTTCTACCCTGATGCCCAGTGCAGCACTGTAATATACAAAGTTCTAAAATAAAAATGGATGTTTAAAAAATTATAATCTTATCTTCCTTAAATTCATATACACGCTCTAGAATACATGGTGTGAATAACAAATTAGTCCCATTTCCCTACCACTCCTAGCTTAATGTCATTAAATATAAATGTTCCACCTAGTCCTAAATGAATTATGTCATTGTCTTAGTTTGCTCTGATTTCCCGTTTCATATAGCAACTTTTCAGATAAAGATGATCCTGGGTATTTTTCTCTAAACCTCTCTTCTCTCTTTAAACTCTTCAGATATAGTTCATATTCTCATTTCAAAAAATGAAGCTGGGAAACTCAGTTGAAATCACAAATGTTCAAAGGATATGTCTAATGTAGTGATCTTCTAAAGTACAGCATTGTACTGTTCTTAAAGATGTAAAATTCTGTTTTAAAAGAGAACTTGTATAATATATGTTTAATAAGTAGAAAAATAAGTATATATCTCAGTGAATTTTCACAGTGAATATAGCTGTGCAACCACAAACCAGATCAAGAAATAGAAGGTTATCATATCCTAGAAACCCCCTTTACCCACTCACCCCCCATCACCATCTCCCTCTTCTGCCAACACAGATTAATTTTGCCTGTGTTTGAATTTCATATTACTAGAATCATACAATATGTAACTTTTGTGTCTGGCTTCTTTCATCCAACAGTATATTTGTGAGATCATCCACCTCTGTTTTAATAGCCTTCACAGCTGGTTAAAAAAAAAAAATTAAGAGGAAGAACCTTACTTCCTTGACTACCCTGTTAAAACTGCATCACTCAAATAGCAGTAAATGAATGGTCTGTCTGTCTGACCTTGGGCAAGTCACTTAACCTCTCAATTTTTCATCTGTAAAGAAAGGAAAATCATGCCCTCTCTGCCTCCCCTATAAGGTTGCCAAAGACAAGTGCAATAAATTAGGAGAAAGCACTTTAAAATATATAATGAAGAATTGTATGAGTATGTCATTATTATTATCACTCAGTTGTTCCCTCTACAGTAAATTACAGGTGAGCATGGATTTATATAACAGATGTATTCCTGTAAAGTTCTATATGAATCAGATTTTCATAAATCAACATAGCTTAAATGTGCTGGGAAATTTTGCTATTTAAAGCAATCCCATTCAGAGTCTTTTCGTAAAGCAATATAATCCCCTAATTCCTCTTCCCAGCAAACTGAATTTTTATATATTTGCCTAAGGTGAAATATTTCTATTATTTTTAAAAGTATCATTTAAAAAAAATCACTATGTTTACTAACTTAAATAGCACCTGTGTATTTTAACCCATCTCAAAGAGAGAAGATACTGGAAATATAATAACAGCTTTCATGCGGAGAAAAATTTCCTTAGAAATTTTCTTTTTCCTTTCAAATATTATACGTGTGTGTGCGTACCTGGGTGTGTGTGTTTTGACTCGAAGTCTGATAGAAAGAAAAGTACATATTACCAGTAATTCTGGCCTCAGAACAACTTAGGAGTGTATGACTATCATCTGTGATCCTTTTTACTGATCTATAAAATGTAGGCAATAATTCCTATTCCACCTATATCGCTGCAATATGGTGAGAAGCAAGTGAAATAATAAAAATATGAAAATGCTTTATGGAACACAGACTTCCATAGATGAGAAGTATTGCTGTTAAGACAAAAATGTCAAATGACATAACGTGGCATACAGAAAGACCACTCTATGAGACATAAGGGCTAACGACAGTGTGATTATAGCTGTCAATTAAATTAGAGTGTGTCAAATACTGTGACTGATAATGCAACTTACTCCTTTTGTCCTGTTTGTTGCCATCATTGTGTTTGGCCTTCTCCTATGTATCACATCTTCTTGCCTCATCACCTTTTCATAAACACACCTCTTCTCTTCCACCAGCTCAGACAAGGGAAGATAATATATACCACTGCTCTCATCTTTTCCACAGTACGCAAAACCCACTACCTCTGTTGGTTTGCGCCATGGAGGAGTGTTTGCCTACGTGAGGATCTTGAGAGGCACTAGAGAATTTTTTAAAATGTAAAATGTCTCTAATGATGAAATGAAAAAACTAGGAATGATCTAAAATGAGCTCTTTCAAAACTGTTTATGAGTGTGTCAGTGGGGATTTAGTTTTCATAATCCACGCTATATATTTTATATCGCAAAAATAATCATCTGAAGATTAACAGCATCTCTAATAGAATAAAAAAGAAGTCCTGCCTCTCAAGCAGTTCCACATTTATTTAACCCTGCTGTGCACCTATTCCATAAACAAGACCTTCAGGTTTTGCGAGAAGTTCTAGAGGAGATTTTAAAAGGCAGAATCTTGAGCTAAAACAAACTGGACTCCATCTAAATAAGGAGAGAGTCTCTCTGGCTTATAAAATTAGACTCAAGAATCAAACCAAGAACTGACCACAGCTGGAAATGCTAAAGCTCTGAACCCCGGCACAAATGGTCTTTATTTTTCAGTTCTTCAGGAGTTTAAATAGCTGTTAGAATAGTATTTTTGAAGGTGTCTTTCCTTTTGATATCCTTACTGTTTCTTTCTTTGACAAATATAGTAGTTCTCAAAAACATAAAAGACAAATGATGTATATTCAATATACCAACTAGTCCCTGTTTCCTGGAAATTATTTTTTTGTCCAAAGTGTCTATAACCAAGGTTTCATAGACCATATCACTTTCCCCACACTGAAACCCTTCCTCCCTCTCCTGCCCCCCAAATATATGCAAACTCCGTAGCGTATCCATTCATCTCTTTCTGAATTATAAGAGTAATTAAAATGTCATTCGTTGGGCCCTGGTGGTGTCTGAGAGTTCAAAACTCAGAAAAGTTTTTCTGTTATTGTTCCTTAAAGTGAAATTTGGATTGTATCCAAAGAAGTTATAGATAGTTTTTAGTTTATTTTGATTTTGCCTGCAAACACATTTAATACATTTGTGTCAAGTGAATATAATGTATTTTATGGTAGCTAATAACATAAGCATAGATAATTGCTTCTGCTTCATTTAAAATAAAATTGAATTAACCAATATGTGAAGATTTACTTTAAACATATTTAGTTATAATGCACTGCTATCCCACAGATTTGATAAAACTTATCATTTTACTTAATTGTACTTGGCTGTCTCAACCATATTGATCAGCAGGGTGGCAGACATTGGACACAGTAGCAGGCTTCTCTTCATGATTTTAATCTGGTGAGGCAAACAAACCTTCAAATCACAAATAACCAAAATGCCCCAAATCAT